AATGGAAAATATACAGTTAAATCTAGATATCAGGTGAAGCTAATACAGCCGGCAGAGAAAACCCACCAACAATATATGGACCTACGGTTGATGCTCTTAGGCATATTGTTGGAAAATTTTATGTCCACCAAAAATCAAGTATTTTTTGTGGCAAATCATGTCAGGGTGTCTTGTGGTAAAGAAAAACTTACATAGAAGAAGAATTAAAGGTATGTTCGTTGTGGAGAACAGAAGAATCAGTGAATCATATATTATTTGAATATACACCAGCGATCCAAGTTTGGGCACTTTCACGGCTCCCATCAAATTCTGATATTTGTTTGGGCACTTCACAAATATGGACTATTTATTTTGGAGAGTTTTTCCACAAATGGAGGATCATCAATTTGCTTGGATCTTATGGTATATCTGGAAAGGGGAGAATAACAAGACATTCAGTAAAATAGATGTTGATCCCAGAGAGACATTCAAGCTTGCGGAAACGGAATCGCTATTTTGGGCTGAGCCACAACTTACAATCTCACAAAGGATAACTCTGAGCATGGGGACTGAAACTACAATCTTGCCTCATATCCCAGGAAGATTGTGCTATATAGATGGATCATGAAAGGATAAGAAAACCTATTCAGGACAAGGATGGTATGGCACTCTTGAGGGTTTCGATGGTTTATTAGGAGCACGAAATATTACAGCCAGTCTTTCACCCATGCATTCGGAAGTGAAGTCACTTATATGGACAATGAAATGTATGAGAAACTTACATCAGTATCATGTCACATTTGTAATAGGTTGTTTTCAATTGGTGAAGATGGTTTCGGAACTAGAAGAATTGCCAACTTTTAAAGATATCAAAATCCTGAAGACCTGTTTTCATTCCTCTAAGTACTCCATTTACCAAGAACGATAAACTTAAGAGCAGATAGACTTGCATGCAGTGCTCGGAAACAACCAACCTTCATCGTACATATGGATTCAAAACTCTGGGTTTGGTTTACAGAGTTGTCATGATTTTTTTTTTTCGTTGATGACAAAAAAAACTGATTTTATACATTCTTATTTATTTACAAGTTTTTAGTAATAAAAATATATAAGTATTATTTGAAAATGGTTTTCATCCAAATTAAAAAGAATTATAGACAGATAGTGACATATCATAATTTTTGTAAATTTTAAAATTTAAAATGTTAACAAACTATATTGAAGAATTATCTTCGGATTCAAATAGTATAAGGTTTTATTTGCTAAATACTCCTGGAGGGTGTATTCAATCTAAATTTGAGGTGATTTGATTTAATGAAATTTTAGAGGATTTCAATAAATTGCAGAGACTAAAGTGGTTTTTGTTAAATTATTCAAGTATTACTTAAAATCATAAGATTTGAGTTTTAATTTTTTAACTAAAAACTTCATTCAAACATTCTAAAATTAATTAAAACTTTAAACTCCACAACTTAAAATTTTTTTTTAATAAAAGTAAATTTTAATATAGTTTATGAATCGTCAAATTCACTCACAGTGGGTTTTATGTAAGTTTTTATAATTCATGGTTGAATAACAATACAATTATCCTTTTAATATATATCATCTAAAATTCACAATTGAATATATATTCCTTCGTAATAGTTACTTGGGAGAGTTCTTGGTATAATAATTTTTTGAAATTTAATTATTATTTTTTAAGTTGAGAAAATTTTCAATGCTAAGAAGATGTTTTCAAATATTTGTATATAGATTTTCATTATATGTTAATGAATTGTATATACTTTCATTGATTGTCATTAATTCCTATAAAATAATAATTTAATGATGGGAGGACAAAGGGAAAGAGAATAACAATAACATATGCTACAGTTGTTGGATCAAAACTTCATCAATTATTTATTCATGAAAATTTGAATTATTTTGGTCTCAAAAATTCATAAGAAGTCCGAAATTTATGAAGTTTTGAAAACTTCCATCTACCTTTTTGTTTTCTAATAGAACACATGTTAACGACATATATATTTTTCTCAGCACTTCTCATTTAATTTTTTTTTTTTTGACATCAAACGGCTGATCTATTACTCAAACGACTTGAGCTGGTCTGAGTAACCAAACCGGAATAGAACAACCAACATACACAAACTTACGATAAAAGACCTAGGTATCTTACCTAGAGAATCAGAAACGCCGTTCTGTAATCTAGGACCATAAAAAATCTTGAATTCAGAAAAGCAGATCTTCAGTGTCAATAATTTTTCCAGTTCCGTTGAGAAGCTAGGCCATGCATGAGGATTCTTGAGCATCTCGATCATCCCCTTACAATCAGTTCCAAAACTCTGACATGGGGAATGTTGAAGCATGTTCTTCATTGCCCCCCGCAGTGCTTCCAACTCTGAATGCAACGCCGATTCCACTCGATCAAAACTACGCAACCCCATTAACTGACTATTTCCAGAATTATCATTCAACACCCATCCACATCCACTGAAGAAGTCTGTAGAAGTCTAAGATCCATCCACCATGCATATGTTCCCCAAACTTAAGGTCTGGTCTTCATCTATTCTGTTTCCAAGGGAGGACGGTATATCCTGCTCATTTGCTTGGAACCATGCTTGGCATTCACTTTTGCGTAGCACGCTACCTTCAATGGGTCCCTATCAATGCCTCTGAATAGCTTATCTTTCCTAGCCTTCCAAATATACCAGATTAACCAAGGGAAAGGATCCCTGTCCAATTCTAGTTCCAATATTGCATTCTTCCTCCAGAATAGATCATCCATATTCGTGTACATGCTTTGTACTAGAAACAAAGCGGGATTGGTAGGCGTAGATGAAAGAGCCCAAACTTGTAATGCAGGTGGCCATTCAAATATTGCATGTGTGATCGTTTCCTCGGGTTTCCCACAATGAGGGCAGTGGTTGTCACATCTCATATGTCTATAGTTTAAGATGCTAGTAACAGCTACATGTCTTGTTATCAACTGCCAAATAAGATGACAAATCTTTTAGAGAACCCTGATCTTCCAAGCATGTGTTTGAAGTTTTGTGATACTAGGCTCACATACTTCAGATTTATCCTCTTTTCAAAATATTTCGTGCTACCAGTATCTCCATTCTCATATAATTTTGTAATTTTGATTAATTACTAAAAAATGTGCCCCTTGTGTTTGATTAATATTCTATGTTCTATCAGTTTCATATAGTTTTGTAGTTATTTTGTTGTCTGTGTTAATTGTGGGTGTTTTTATTACATAAGTTTTGAAAATCTTATGGATATACATGGTATTTTTAAAGTTGAATCTCATGAGTAAAAAAAAAAAAAAATTTATATCCCAATAACAATATTTTTTAATAGAGTTGCTATATCAATGATATGCAAACTTTTCCGATATTGAAGGATTCTGAAGGATTTAAAAATACTCTTCCCAATAACAATAGAGTTTACTAAATTTTAAAAATTCTTAAGCAAATAACTAATAGAATCTACTATAACTTTCACAATTCCTTTAGAATTTTTCTACCAATAAGCCCTCCCTTAATGTTGATCGTTTAAGCAAATGCCTCATGGTTTCAGTTCTAGCGACTACTGTTTAAGTTCTTTGTAAAGTACTTCTTCTTTATTAATATTTAGTATAAACAAGATGAAATAACTTACTTGTCACAGATATTCGCGAAGGAATAACGTTAGTTAGTAATTAAATATTATAAAATAAAAATCATATGATAAAATTAGAAAGGAAATAAAATTCATCTCTGATCAATATTAATATAACTTATGTATTAGTTTACTTAAATCTCGTTCTGTTTTTTGCTTAACTTCTGTTAACTGTTTCTGTTTTATTTAATTTTATTTTCTATTATTCTCCTTGTTCTTTTCAATATTGTATCACTGCAGTGATAATTTTTATATAAAATGTATATATGACCGAGTATGTCTCAAAATCATATTGAATCAAACACTGTTAATTTAAAAGCTACATTTATAGAAATTGACTTTACATGTTTGATATATGAATTTGGGCATCTAAATACAAGAATTTTCTTAATAAAAAGATAGTAATACTTAATTTAATATATCTAATAATATTTTTTTTTAATTTGATAAACGTTATAGGGCTCGTTTTTATTCCTTGCTTCTAATTTAAATAAATTTCAGAACCGGTTGATAAGTTCCATGGTTGACTCAGTTGTCTCTATTTAAAACACTTGTGATTCGAATTATTTTTGGACAAAAAAGGAAAAGAACCAAAAAGAAAGAATTTCTGCATATACATAATACGCGTGTAAAAGGGGGAACGCCTAGAAGGTATGATGTGTTAGAAAAAAACTTTAGTGTTTTGTTCTTCAGCTGCCACCAACTTTTCTTATGAAATGGGACTTTACCATTTTCAACGAGATAGTATCGCCACTATGCACCATGTGAATTCTACCTTGCTGGCATGTTCATATCCTTCCACATCGCCACGCACTTCCCAGTACACTGTCATCTCCAAACACATGTCTCCATGCAGACAGTATCACGTTATAATTTGACATATGTATGCTAAGCATACTATATATGCACACAAAAAGTTGATTTCCTTTAATCGTATAATATTTTGTTTCCTTCAGTTAATCGAAGATACATAATATTACATATATGTTTTGAACATATATCTTTTTTTTTTGAACATATATCTAGCATGAACAAATTATGTAAGTGTCTTTACAAAAAAGGAAGTGGTAATAAATTTTAGTAACACTAATCGAAAATTAATGAACTAAAAGAAGTTTATTATCTTATGTTGCTAAAAAGAACCACGGTCATCCAGCTCCTTATGTATGGACTATTTGTTGCCCAAAGAATGTGTGGATTATTAAATGCTTTTCAATAATAATAAAACAAAAAAAATTATAAAACAATATTATATTTGGATACCCTCTATATAAATACACCAAGTTAGTATCATCACATATAGCCGAATTGCAATATAAGAGAACCTAGTTTGTATCCTGCTTTCTGTTTAAATTGCATCAGATATGGCAATACTCCGGACGACACTGCTTCTGTTGCTTATCCTCCTCTGCCTTACCACATATGAGGTTAATAATTATAAGTCTTTTATTCTCCAAATAGTATTTTACCCGATTGAATCATATTAATACTTAAATCATGTGTGCATGGTGATAATGAATGACCATTCTCCTCAGCTTCACCTTCACGCTGCTGAAGGTGCAGAGGGCAGTGAAGGTGCAGTTAAAATCGGTACGTAATCCTAACACGTAAAATTTCTGTGTCTAGCTTTGCTTGCAGATATTATCATTAATACCGACCAACGATATATAGCGTTCAGGAATAGCCAATGTTGTTCGTTTGTCTCTTTGGCAACTGGTCATAGTTTTGACATATGTATGTGTCGTGTGCACGTGTAGATTGCAATGGGAGGTGTAAAGGGAGATGCAGCAAATCGTCCAGGCCGAATCTCTGCTTGAGAGCATGCAGCAATTGTTGTTCCCGATGCAACTGTGTACCACCTGGCACACATGGAAACCACCATCTATGCCCTTGCTACGCTTCCATTACCACTCGCGGTGGCCGCCTCAAGTGCCCTTGAATCTATCCACACATGAATGTGGAATTCTACGATGTTATGTTCTTAAATAATATATAGACAATAGTGTTACCTTTTTAATCGATCGTTTACTGTCGGGATCTCTAGAATTTCTATATTTTGCATTAACTGGGGCAAAATATAGAGGTACTTAAGTTTCAAAATTATTGATAACTAGTGTAAACATGCAAACGAGAAAAATGAGTGGTAGACTTATGTTTTCTGTATTTCTCAATATTATATCGGGAATAAAAAGAATAATAAAATTATGGTCTTTAACCTTCATAAGCCGTTAGCTGCATTTCTCCGTTGAAGGTTTTGAGACTGAATGTCGTTTTGACTCTTCAAAATTGTTTTATTATCTAAGAAGATATATAACACCAGTTCTAGAGATTACTCTGATGCCAAATGGCACCTCCCTAGAAAGATACGGTCGTTGCAAGGGTATGAGCAGGTCCGGTCCAAAACCTTGTGCACAATCAAAATTTTAGTCTTATTTGTACAAATCAAAATTTTAGAACTTTTTTGTGTATTCACAAAACTAGGTATTTAAAAAACAAAAGGGTCTTTTTCTTGTATAAAATCAAAACGGCAGAACCTTAATTATAAAGAAAATGTACAAGGAAATAGTTGGACCCTGTCCTCAAACACCTTACACACGCCTGCAAAGCCGGCGATGTTATAAGGATAGATCCAAAACGTAATGGTTGGTCACGAAACCTTAACCAAAAATATATGAAACTTTTAACCCAATTATTCTATGCGGTCAAACAAAACTCTAGGATATGTAATCCTTGTCAAATTGACAAACTCATGGCTCCTTCACCTCAGATGAATTAGATCTAGGAGTTACGGCTCACTTGAATTAGATTTAGGAGTTACGGCTCACTTGAAACGTAACCCAATTATTCTACGGTCAAACAAAACTCTAGGATATGTAATCCTTGTCAAATTGACAAACTCATGGCTCCTTCACCTTAGATGAATTAGATTTAGGAGTTACAGCTCACTTGAAACGTTGATGAATGGTGAAGGATGGTCAAATGGTGGCACAAATGAGGATGGAGATTCGTCTGATAAATATTGGATAACTTTGAACTAGAACTCGTCCAATGGAAAAAACACAAAACAAAACTCGAAACAAAAGTTCTCTGACACAGTTCTTAATGTTTAAACAGTTGTTAATGTTTAAACGATCTTGAATTATCTTTCACTGTTGGTGATGACTGAAATTTTACTGTTGGTGAGACCAGAATCTTATCCTGGTCTTACCTTTTAACCCTGCTGACTTTATCTTATCCAGTATCTCCCAATTCACTTCTCCAGTAAATAAAAAAAAATCCCACAGCTATCATTCCACAAAGAAATTTGTAGTCGTTATTAATATTTTTGAAATTTTACATAAGGCTCAAATTACTGATACAGAAATGGTTATATTAGACATTATTGGCAAGATCTCTGATTCAGCCTCTTAATTGCTGGATCTGTTAACTCCAGATCTGGAAATCCTGTTCATGAAAATTTCATTATTCTAAAACTTAAATTCTCTTCCTCTTTGCAAACTAACCGTGTCTTTTCCACCCTCCTCCAACTACTGTTAAACTATTTAGCTCTCTTTCCACTCTAACCCAAAAACCATTGTCTTAATCTGATACTAACATTTTTACTTCAGCATCGATTAGTGATGTTGTTCAAAAACCCACTACAAGAAAACACGGAACATTCCGAAAAACGTTCCAACGGACACGTATGTTGTCAGAAGTTTCCGACCAATTTCTGACAAAAAACTGAAAAGATATAAATTTTAATATTCGTCGAAAATTCGTCGGAAAATTTCAACGAAATTCCGAGCAACAACTGTTAGTCAGAAATTTTCGATGGAATTCTGACAAAAAATTTGAACATTGTGAATTCCGACAGAATATTTTCGACGACAGATTTTGTGTTCAGCTTTCCGGCGCAATTCCGACGGAAGATTTGACCGTTCGAAATTCCGACGAAATACCAACGCAATTCCGAAAACTTTTCGACGACCCTTTTTGACAGTTCAATATTCCGACGGAGTTTCGAAACTGGTTATGAAATTGGTAGTACTAGCGAACCTCAGCATGTGGATAGGGTAGTTAGGGTAGAAGAACCTACAACGGATAAAGATTATGGTGTAGGTATTGAGCAGATGGTAAATGATCATTATAGAGGGGATGAGTCGAATGCAGAATCTTGGAGTTTTTTTGACATATTAGATGCAGGAAAACAACATTTGTACAAAGGTTATAGAGATGGTCATTCTCCCTTATCATCTGCAACTAGATTGATGAGTATCAAGACAGATTATAATTTGGCAGAAGAATATATTGATGCGATTGCTGATTTTGTTAAAGATGTTCTACCGGAGGATAATCTTGCACCGAGTTCATACTACGAGGTTCATAAACTGGTAGCGGGTCTTGGTTTACCGTATGAGGTGATAGATGTATGCATCGACAACTGCATGATCTATTGGAGAGCAGATGAGAACCGGGATAGATTCAAATTTTGTGGGAAATCTCGTTATCAAGAAACAAGGGGAAGAGTACCGGTGCCATTCAAAAGGATGTGGTATTTTCCTTTGACGGAAAGACTGAAGAGGTTATATCAGTCTGAACGTACATCCAAACAATGAGATGGCATGTAGAGCACTCCACAAATGCTCAGATTAGACATCCTTCAGATGCGAAAGCATGGAAACATTTCCAAACAAAATATCCAGAATTCACCCATGAGAGAAGAAATGTCTATCTTAGATTATGTTATGAGTAGATTTTCTTATTCATATATGTTATTAGAGTTTGACAAGTGTTTGAAGTATTTAGTATAAGTTATTGGAGTTTTTAAAATCTTTATGTATTTCATTTTAACGTATTTGTTACTTTAAAAAATCTTAATATATTTCATCAACATTTATACAAAATTGTACAAACATACTGCAACAATCTTAGATTATGATATAATTTTGTATAATATCGAATTACTCAATATTATGATTAGTTAACACGCATTTACATACTAACTAAGTGTTGTATTTGATCATAAACT